GATGAAATACAAACTTGCAATGTTGCATACAAAAAACAAACAGTGCAAGAAACTTACATAGTCTTTGTAAGTGACACAAAATAAGGCATCTTCTTCTTAAATCAAATAAGAGAGCAAAACATAAACCTTGAGTAAATAGCTATTCCACCATAGCCTTCGTTAGAGCAGCATAATAGCCTCTCTGCAATAATAATAATAATAATAATAATAATAATAATAATAATTTATTTATACCCCACTCCATTGATGCCGAGGGCGCCCCAGGCCCCTGCTTTCAAGCTGATCTGACCAGCTGCAGGGAGTTCCACAGTTCCTGGATGTCCGGTTGGACCATAACTGATTAAATGTGCCCCAGCAGCAGCCTCCACCGAGGACTCTTTGCAGCCTAGAACTCTCTTCTTTCACTTCTTTCCCCAGTCCAAACTATTGAACAAATCCCTAAATAAAGACTAATTGATTTGTAACCTTAACCTCTCCAGAATACTTTGTGTCCCTTTCCTGACTCAAACTGTCTCAATGTATGAAATATTTTTTTACGGGCCATGGGAGGCCGAATCTATGTTCCTTCAAACCACGGATACGGAAACCCCTTTGGTCCCCCGTATCCGCGAGTTGACGGATTGACTCCATTTTGGTGCCATCTTTTTCCTTGCCAAATTCTAACCTTATCTGCCATCTCGCTTTTTGCATTTTGGGCCCCTACGCTCGGGGAATAACCTTTGATTTCTTAATAATATTTTTAAAGGGAAATAGCTGATTGTCAAAATCCAAGCCTCGCTGCTGCTGCCTGAACAAAAATGTAACAGTGTCCAAAAGTTCCAGGCTCAGCCTGCTCCTTGGGCATGGCCCAACCAATCAGCATCATGCATCTCATTTTACAGTTGACACACACACACGCATTGATTCCTTGCAAGCTACAACATATATTTCGGATGCAAAACCTAGTTACGATGCATCATTGAACCATATGATATTTTGGAAGCCATCATAAGCACTCCTTTAATATTGATTGTGTTAGTTGTTTGACTTTGATACGTAGTTAAATCATGGGATGCTTTCTGTGGTGGAGGAGGGTGGGTAGAGGATAGCTTAGTATGATACTATGTAAACTAAACTATGTCAAAATATTTGTTGTTGTTGTGTACTTGTTCAGTCTCTTCCAACTCCTTGTGACCTCATGGACCAGCCCTCGCCATATCAAAATATATTGAAATGTAAATATATAATTTAAAAAGCAAACAAGGACTTTACTATGTCCTTTGATAGCAAAAGAGTGTTGCAGGTAACAGTGTTGCTTTGAATTCTTCCTGACCTTTGATTGTGCATTTTGTGTATCAAGGGGTATAACACCACCTGCCATTTTACAAGCTGTAGGTATACTTTTTTTTACTGCTGATAATTACACTTTACAACAGTTGTATATTTTCCAGTACATCTTTATAGCCCCAAGAGCTACATATTTCACTTCCCATGTAACACTGGGAAAGCTGGGTTAGGGCCAACTCTGTCACCATTTGGCAGGAGAAATTGTCCTTTTGGGAATGTGTGGCCCTGGGGTTGGTGAGGCTCAGGAAGCGATTCCCGGTTGCCAAAACAGGAGCCAAGCATAGGCGTGCCCTGCATTTCGTAAGAGAGATGGTGATGGGCGTGTGTGCTATTGCAGCAAAGGCACAGGAAGACAGGGGAAAAAGCTTTGGGCAGGATTAGCCAAAACATGTTTCCAAAACAATAAGAAATATAAAGTATTGTGAAATGCAGCAACAGGTACTCTCAGAGGGTACGCAGAGACATGTTTCGAAGCTTAGATGGCCTGGTATAAACTCACACTTAAGAAGAAAAGGCCCTAGCCTGAGAAAATTTTATACCAGATGTTAGGAGAGTATGTTATTGTTGCATGTCAGTCTGTTCAGCCAGCGATTGTGTCTAATGATCAGGTTGCTTTGGATGATGGGAATGACAATGTTGTTCATGTTCAAGTTCATTCCACTGATGGGAATGGGTGTTGCACTCCACACCAGGAAAAGCCCTCTGACTTTAAACACCAATACCTATGCTGACTCAAAATTATTATTGTTCTTATTTGCTACACGACAAGATTAGTATACACCAAACAATATCACGATGCTGACTGTTGTGTTCGATCACACGTCAGACACTTCCCAAGTGTCTAGGACTGTGTGATGTAGCAACTAATAATGTGTGCAGATCCGAGTAGGGTGGCCTTTCACAGCTGCCAGATGGTAATTTTGTCAGCACCAATTGTTTTTAAGTGCAGGCCAAGGACTTTAAGCACTGTACCCAGTGTGTCGATGACCATTGGGACCTCCTTGACTGGCTTGTGCCAGAGTCTTTGCAGTTCGATCTTAAAATCCTCATATTGTGTAAGTTTTTCCAATTGCTTCTTGCCATTTCAGCTGTCATCTGGGATTGCAACATCAACTAATGTTAATAATAAGTATATACTGCTGGTATCATAAACTGGATGCAGGCGAAACTGGACAATTTGGACAGAAAATCAAGAAAACTCATGACCATTCATAATTCCATGCATCCTCACAGTGATGTTGGTCAAACAAGTCAAACAAGCAGTCGAAGAAGAAAAACACGATGCCCTGGCAGAATATGTAAAGGAAAGCCAAGAACCTGCTTTGATTGAAGTCAATAATCGGAAACTTCTCAAAGCACAGCAGACAAAGAACCAGTACAAAAAAACTGCACAACAAACCAGAGCTGACAGCTTACACAACAAAGCATGGCATGGGCAGTTCCTTGACAAAACTGAAGGAAAAGTTGATAAGGAGAAGACCAGTTGATAGTTCACAAATGGAACCCTGAAGAAGGAGACAGAAGAAGGCCTGGTTCTTGCAGCCCAGGAGCAAGCCATCAGAAACAAGGCCATTAAGGCGAGGATTGAAAAATCCGCTGATGACACAAAATGTTGACTGTGCAAGGAACCAGGGCTGTAGCCAGAAAAAAAATTCCGGGAGGGTTGAAAATTTCGGGGGGGGGGGGGGGG